ACTTTGGAATATTACTAATTTTGTGATGCTCTTTCAAGCTGTGATGAAATTTTTGTCTAGATCAAAATTTAGTCTATAATGCAAATGGTCCATTAACGTACCACATGAGTGTTTTAAAAGCAAAATGGAAAGTTCCTAGCCCAAATAGAAACAATTTATCTGTTGATTGACTGACTAGAATACAGTCACTTCATCTCATTCTCATATAGAAATCTAGATATATAGAACTGTTTAGCCACATTATAAGTTATCATTATATCCCAAGTTGGAGGTTTATAACCGACTTATTTTTTAGTTGAGGAGGTTTTCGAACACGATTTCATCAATTTCAAAGGCTATCAATAAAGATTTTTCGAGTTTTAATTTGTCGACAAGTTTAATCTAATTATTTATTCATGGGTTACAACCTGTATACATCCCGCGGCAGGGGCGGATCCAGCTCCTGAACTGACTGATGCATACATAAGAACTCGCATTTGTCGGGGGGTCCGGGGGTATCCTCCCCCGGGAAATTTTGAAATCTAGAACCTCGGAAATGCGATTTCCTGCGTTCTGAGCAAACTCTTTTGTTCCAATTCATACATCAGAGTCACAAATTTATTTGCTGCATTTTTGGAAAGCACGTAAAAAACTTGAACCTATATATTGCAAAAACACCATAATTTTTCCATATAAGAAAAAATATTTGCTTGTACAATTGTAATAGCAGCAGCGGTGCATAAGTCTCTATTAAAAAATAGTCAGTACTTACTACTGTGCTTCTTGTAGCCTTAACTTTTCTATTGAAAAACATTTCGGCAAAAAATCACGACAACGCAAATACACACATACGTGTAACAAAGGTGTATACAGTGTGATCAACTAGTTGCAATGTTGGACTCAAAAGACAGTGTTATTAGGTTTCTTAACCACCTTCCCTGAGGCTTATTCATTTCCACTAATTTGCAATGTTCCATGAGTAAATTTTTTTAGCATTAGAATGGTGCATAAAGGTATTTTGTGCTCTAGTTGGTAAACTTATTTATATACAACTCTGTCTTATGCTGCTAACCTTACTCTGTATGGACAGTGTTGTTGGCATCAGTACGTCAACTTTATTCACCCCTAGCAATAGATGCCTTTGATGTGAATTGCATATTTGCATGGTGACTAGCCCACACTCTAAATTACTGAGAATATTGCCCTGTCACCAGGAAACCAGTAAAACTAACACACAACAAGCACTGAGTTTTAAAATTCTATAAGTATAACTAT